TCTCTCTCTCTCTCTCTCTCCCTCCTCCCCCTTCTGTCTCTGTCTCTCTCTCTCTCCCTCCTCCCCCTTCTGTCTCTGTCTCTCTCTCTCTCTCTCTCTCTCTCCCCCACACCCCTTCTGTCTCTGTCTCTCCCCCACACCCCTTCTGTCTCTCTGTCTGCCCAGTATCCGGATGATCCTCCCGTGGTATCCGTTCGGAATCCTCGGGGACTCTCTGACGACTGGATACAGAGGTAGGGAAGCTGGCACCTGTCTCAGTGATACTCCCCTCGTCTTGTTGCAACCCAGTGTTGGGGGTGGGGGTGGCAGGGTGGGGATGGGGGGCACGGGAGTGCTGGGATGGGGGTGGGAGTGGGGGGGAGCTAGGAGGGTGGGATCTCCTCCCTGTAGCAGCTCCGCACTAACGGAGGGTGAAGCGCTGAAGGAGATCCGCAGCATTTATCGCCCCCCCCCCCCCCCAACCCCTAATTGCCCCATGGCAAACGCTGGGGGTGCGGGGAGTCAGCTGCCTTCTTGAACCGCTGCCCCTTGTAGACGGTACACGCTGCTGCGGCTGTGCCTGAGGAGCGAGGGAGTGTCGAAGGTGTTTCGGAAGGGGTCAGCGTCTTGATCGAGGTTGGGGGGTCGGTGGTGGCTGCTTTGCCCCTGGACGGTGTCGAGCTTCCTGAGTGCTGTCGGAGCTGCCCCCCACCCCAGGTCCAGGCCAAGTGGGGAGTATCCCCTCCCCCCTCCTGCCTTGTCGATGGTGGACAGGCTTTGGGTGGGGTTGGGGGGGTAGGTGTGGAGGTGTCAGGAGGGGAGTTATAGGATTCCCAGCCTCTGACCCACTCCTGTAGCCACAGGATTGATGTGGGGCTGGGCTCCCGGGTCAGTTGGTGTCACTGAGGTAGCGTGTCGGAATATCCTGACCCTCTTGTTCCCAGAACGTTTACAAAACGTTTTAAAAGAAAAACAAAGCAGAATTCCTTTAGACCAAGATAAAGGGGAAAGAGAAAAGCTCCGACCAGAGTTGCATACTTATAAAGAAAGGCTATTTACTTCAAATCAATAAACTCTGTCTGAAGGAAAACCATTACGAGCTATGGGTGTGTAACTCTACTTGTTAAAACCCTTTGGTAAACTACGCGCCGGCAGTGGTGGGGAAGAAAGAAACATGGGTGCCACGGATGGTGGGAAAGATGCTGTGCAGGAAGGGTTCGCTGAGGTGAGTGTCGTAGGTTGTCCCTCTCAGAACGAAGAGGGCTCCCCACCCGCTGACAACTGACATCTGCGGTCTCCGAGCTCCCCCCACCACCACTGGGAGGCAACTACTCAGCCAGCCTTCTGACCCTGAGCCGTTCCCCAATCCGCGCGCGTCCCATCAGCTAATCCCTCCCCCCCGCCCCCCCCTTCGCCCTTTCAAAACCGCTACGTACGTGGGAATCCTTCGCGATCCCTGCTTTTCCCGGATCCGTTCACAATCGAATCCACAGGGAGATGAGGAAGGCGTTTGGGAGGCTTGGTCAGTGCGTAGGGAGTTGGGAGGGTCATGTTGCGGCTATGTGGGTGAGGCCACTTGGGGAATACTGCGTCCCATCCCAGTCTCCCTGCTACAGGAAGGATGTTGGGAAAAGGGATGTCGGAGGGTTTGAGCTACAGGGAGAGGCTGGGGGCTGTTTTCCCTGGAGCGTCGGAGGCTGAGGGGGTTGACCCTGAAAGAGGTTTATAAAATCATGAGGGGTGTGGACAGCTTCCCCCCACCAGGGTAGGAGTGGGGGGTGTGGTGTTCCGAAACTAGAGGGGACAGATTAAGGGACAGCAATTTCACGCAGAGGGTGGTGCGTGTATGGAAGGAGCTGCCAGAGGAAGTGGGTGGAGGCTGGTACAATTACAACATTTAAAAAGCATCTGGATGGGCACATGGATAGGACGTTATTGGAGGGATATAGCTGGTAAATGGGACCAGATTAATTTAGGATATTGGGTTGGCACGGACGGGTTGGACCGAAGGATCTGTTTCTGTGCTGTAGGGCTCTCTGACTCTTAAAAAGCCGCAGTGTTTACAGCCAGCAATCGTAAGGGAATTTGTTTCAGGGAATGTTCACTAATAGTTTGTTGTGGATCAACTGTTTTCTCGACAGCATTTGCCAGAGTCTGACAGAGCTAGCCGAGGAGAACGTGGGAACGCAAATGCTTTTCCAGCTCATTGAGGTGAGGCAATAATGTGTCAGGAGCTGTGTGGGGGGGAGAGGGGTTACTGAGTGACCGTGTGAGGGAGAGGGATTAACATCAGTAGGGATACAGTCAGTAACACAGGGCGCTGGAGGGGGAGAGGGGTTACTGAGGGACAGTGTGAGGGAGAGGGATTAAC